GCCTGTTTGATACTTCTACCGACAATATGAAAACAGCTCAAATCCTCGCGAGTACAGTAAAATTGACCAAACCAGGCCCACACATTTTTATGTTTGTCTTGTCAATTGGTCGCTTTACACAGGAAGAATGCGAAACGATTGAATTTCTAAAAAATATATTTGGAAGTCATGTTACAGATTTTCTAATTATTGTTTTCACGGGAAAAGATACTCTCGATTACGACAAAATGGATTTAGAGATGTATATTAATACTGCAGGCGATGAGCTGAAATCTTTAGTCAGCCAGTGTCAAGGGAGAATAGCTATTAACAACCGGGCGGCTCGTGAGGAAGTTACTAAGAGTGTAGATAGTTTATTACAGATGATTACAGGCGTTCATTCAAAGAATAAAAAAAAACACTACACAGATAAAATGCTGGATGAAGCAGAGAAAATATTTGAAGAGAAACTGCGCCTACAGGAAGAAGAATCTCACAGAAGAGAACGAGAACTAGAAGAAGAAATGAAGAAATTAGGAGAGGAAAGGGATCAACAAGATATCAAATTTAAGGCATACCAGAACGAGCAAGAACGAAACATGAAACATCTAATGAAACGTGTAACAGAAGGCGAAAAAGCAGTTAAAAAAGCAAACGACCAGATAGCATCTGCGATTAAACAAAGGGATTTACTGCAGAACGAGGTGGAAAATCTGATAAAAATTCAAAAACTAAAAGATGAAGAATATGAAAGTATGAAATCACAATCAGTTAGCAAATCACAGTTAGAAACAATTGTGAGCGAACTACATAGATTGAAAGATGATATTCACAAAAAACAAAAACAAAGAGAGGAAATGGCAAAGTATATATTAGAAGCTAACCTAGAATTAGAACGTACTAGAAAAGAGCTACTAGCAGAAAAGGATAAATGCACCATTCTGTAATTACAGTATACCTCTATGAAGCTTGATGCAGAGAAAGCTTTTGACAGAGTCTGTCATCAATATATGCTTGATTTACTCAATGTGTTTGGGTTCGGAGAGTTTTTCCGCAAAAATGTTGCCATTTTATATAATAATATCCGCAGCAGCATTAAGATTAATGGTCAAGTTTCTCTCCCCTTTAAGATCCATAGATCAGTTCGTCAAGGTTGTCCGATATCAGCCTTTTTATATGTGCTTACTGCAGAGCCACTTAATCTTTTGATAAAATCTAATAAAAGACTGAAAGGTATACACATTCCTGGTTCTATTAACAGACCTATAATTTTTCAACACGCCGATGATAGACACCCTTTTCTGATGCACAGTCAATATTGGAGGCATTTAATTCTCTTGAAATTTATTGTTCGGCTTCTGGAGCAAAGATAAATAAATCGAAATCTGAATTGCTTTTATGTGGCTCTGCATCTGCAGATGCACCACGATTTTGGGTGTATATCTAGGACCTGATAAAAAGATGTGTGAAGGTTTAACATGGGAACCTAAAATTGCCAAAATTCAGAAAATTGTTAGTCTGTGGCAAAAGCGTGATTTTCAATTGAAGGGTAGGGTTATTGTTATAAACACGCTGTGTCTTTCGATGCTATGGTATCCTTTGAGGGAGATAAATCTCTCTTCATGGGCCTGTGATAAATTGAACAAAATTATTAGATCATTCATATGGTACAATAAACCACCTCGTATCAAATTTTCTACTTTGATTACCAACTATTCTGATGGTGGTCTAAATCTTGTAGATAACAGTGTCACGCAAGATGCATTTAGATTGTATTGGTTATGATAATATAAAAAGTGTTCTGTTGACCATGTTTGAAAGCACTGAATGACTTACTTCCTTCAGAGATACAAAAATATGTTATGCTCCTTTGAGTTACTTTTTCTCAAATATTCGAAACATGATTCTATTAACAGACCTATAATTTTTCAACACGCCGATGATACGGCTTTTAGCCCAATATTCTATGGTTCTATGTTGAGAGCATGGCAAGACTTCCGTGGCAATATGGCAATAATTTGCATATAGAGTCTTTCAGTGATATTTTAAACCAACCTATCTTTGATAATCCGAACATAGCAGGGTTCATAAAGCTATCTGATTTTTATGATTTTTCAAGCCATAATCTTCTTTCATCGAGTGATGTTTTTGAAATGGTAGTTGTTTTTATCCACACTGTAGATTTCAATCGGTCCAGAAACAGTATCAAACGATCTTGAAAGATTTGTCTCCAGAATGGGTTGATACAGTAACTAATCATAGAAGCAAGGTCGAAGATGAAATTCAGTCAAATTTGATTATAGACGACAAATCTATTCAGCTCTCAAGTATGACAACGAAAACTATTTATAATGTTTTATGGTATAGATCATTTAAGGTGCCAACTTGCGAAGCTTTCTGGAGATATGTTGGGTTTGATATAAACTTTAAACCTGTGTGGACATCGGTTTTCCATTCTTTGTTCTGAAATGGTGCATAATGATTATCAGATTGTACACAATATTTTATGGACCAATGAAAAACTGTTCCTAATTGGGATTATCTCGGATCCTTTGTCATACAACTCCTGAAGGTATTCAGCATATATTTTTATTTTGCTCCTCAATTCAAACATGTCGTGATTTTATATCTGATTTTATTGAAGTGTTTTTTCAAAACACAAGGTTCACTGTGGATCAATTTAATGAATGGTTGTTGCTAGGATATTCAGTCAAAATGCATAGTGATAGTTTGTTTTTGATTCTTTTATTCTCAAGTTATAGGTTAGCAATAGTCAAAAGGAAATTGTTTTGCATAAGACATAAAAAACATGACTAGGATAATACATGAAAGACTACATGGAATGACTAGCTTTGTATCATTAACAAAATCTTTTTTTGTACAGGAAAACCGGTACATAAAAGTTCTTGGCGCCGTCAGAAAGGCAATTGTTCGATACTCGATAAAGAGATTTAAGATTTACTTATAGTATGTTTAACACGAAATGACTTCAGTTTTAAAGGAAAAATATATTTACAAACATCTAGAACTACTTTGCCCCACGTTAAGTGAATATATTAATGGCCCATAAACAATACCTCACAGCCTTAACATTTAATTTATGGAAGGTTTCTTTATGTGTTTATATCATTTTGTCGAATACTTTTGAAAATTTTTGGGAATATGTCTCAATTTAAAATAACCCCCACCCTTTCTGTGCAATTGAGAGCAAATATTAACAAAAACTGCATGGATTTTATGGGACACTACGGTTCAAAGGCAACAACTTTCCTTCTTTAGTTTTTTAATGAAACCGATACTCACCAACCGTCATACAAAATCTCGTTTCACGCGAACCATACTTTTATAGTATAATTAAATCTCAAATTCTAAGATTTCATAGAAATTGCACCCAAAGGGCTAATTTTGAATCCGCCTGTAAATTAGTTATTGGTAAATCAAGAGAGGGAAGTTATTTCAAAAGATTTCAACGGAAAATTAAAAACGACATGCTTTCGGATATTTTGAGATAAAGAAAAGAATTCCTCCACCTTTTGTTGGATTCGGTTCATTCCCTACGGAGGTTCTACTGTCGTACATGCGAACACAAACATGTATTTAAAGAAATAAAAAGAACGAAAATAATTTGCTATAAATGAGCTAAATTCTTATGGAGATCAAAACATCATAATATACCTTATTTCTTGTAAAAGTTGGCGAGACTCAAAATACGCTCCGAACGCAATTCAATGGCCATCGCAAACGACCTAGCGCTCTGCAACATATCACGGTAATGAATGGCGATTTTCTTTAACCCAAACTTTGTTAATATTGTCACGTTATATCAATCATGATTCTGGTAATTTAAATATAAGGGATGGTTGTTCATGACTTCAAGTGTTTGTAAACAAAGTCAATAAAAACAAAACCTTCGTTAGATATGTATTCACACTGATAATAAAATGTATCATTAGATAACCAATAGTCAAAATATAGCATTTAATGTATAAGTTTAAGTATCAGAATTATCTTCCAAAGTCTCCAAATTAATCAAATAAAACAGTTAGTGAAACTCCTACTTTTTTAGTATTTCTGAAGACTATTTACACATATTCAAGACCAAAATCAACCCACGAAAATTGCCCACCTGCCCTAAACCTTTAAATCAAACCGAAGACATATTTCTCTACAATAAGAATTTTTGGCTTAAATCTGTACAGTAGTTTTCTTACAAAAGAACATTAAAGAATTATAATTATTATTTTTTGAATGTTTTGTCGTTAAACTAAATGATAAAGGCCACACTTCTCTTGACTTTGGTTTATAGTTTTTGTAAAATATTACGTCATTAATCACATTTTAATTTGCTTTTAGTGCTTAATTATTATATAACTCTTCATAATGACATTTCAAATATATCATTCTAATGTATTTTTGTATATTCTTTTTCTTCAATCTGATTATTATTTAATTGTCGCTTATTGAGTAGTTTATTAAATTTAATGATGTTTATATCTATCCATGGTTTTGTTTATTCATGAAACCTCTTCCGTTAAAGTGATACTACGTCTTAGAATGAACATAAAATTTAATTTCTCAAAAATGGTCAAAAGGAGTATATATATTCATCAGTCAGCTTACCTGGTGTCATAAAGTTACAACAGAATCAATGTAAAATCTGGAAAATTGAAAATTGATAAAACTAAGTAATTATTGAAAAACGCTTGATCTGGATATTAAGCGTTTTTCAATAGTTAATTGCATATTTGTAGGTAATTTTCCTGTTATGCTATTTATGACACAAGGTATATCTACTGGCTCTTATTGGCCAAGTTTGAAATTCTGAAATTTTATGTTAATTCTGAGACGTGGTATCACTTTAAAATGCTGAAACAAAATGGGCTACGTTTGAATACTGAGAGTGGCGGCTCGAGATGTTGTGGGAGATATTATTGATACAAGCATGAAATTTGATGTAATATTATTGTAAAGGTTCATCAACTCTGTTCATTTGTAGACAGAACTGAGTGAGATGGATGGCTCGAGATATTGCCACTTCGCTTTAAAGTTCGTGGCACATGTAAGTCAACAGCCCAGCCATTAGTTTCGCCTGCCGATTGTCTTTGCCATACGGTTTCGCCGCAGACGGTGCAACTTTGGCTCACTTGTTCGTTCGACTGAACAGTACATATGACTAATCACGTGACAGCTAGCACTTCGTATTGTTGTTAGACATGGGTAAATATTTGGATTCAGATTCAGAGCAGAACGTGTTTCAAATTTGATTAAATAATTGATCGGATAAATTATCAGATTATTTATTGAACAGAAAGCAGATACGGATAGTCCGACCAAAGTTCAATCATTTGAACATCGAGCGCAAACGTTGGGTCAATCGTCATTCGTGCTACAAATATCAAACAGGATAGATTTCTGACGCACGGTCTTGCGAGTCAAA